GAGAACAAAAACAGCTTGATTTATTTAGAAATACGGTTTATTGGGACACCCTAATATATATCAACAACTACTATCGGCACAGGTATTTTCAGCAAGATCAGACTGATACGCTCAATTTTTTCCTGCTGATTTCAACAATTATGATTACCGTGGGGGATGGGGGGGGGGTAATTGCTGACCACACAGGACTAACGAAAAATTTTTCCAATTGGTATGGAGGGGAAGGTGAGGAAAGAACATGACGGTTATTTAGAGACAAGGGCAGGATGACAACACAAAGCATTTGCATAATCAATTCTGCTATTCTCAGCCTTCTAGAAGAAGAAAATCGGTGCTTTCGGATGTTAATGGTCATTAAGCTATTCTCCTTTGTTTTTGATTCTCGGTCTTTCTATTTCCAGCCATGTTCATCAATAGAATCCTGATAGGTTAGAACTGGTTAGTGCTATTTTATGTTAAGACTATATCAAACTGCCTTTACCGTGAAAAACCACCCCTCTCCCTCAGTGTCTCAACCTCTTTCAATGCAGGTTCACCGAAGGGAAGCTTTTTGTAAACAACAAACACAATTTACAGAATGCGTTGCGTCTCAAGTAAGGTGAGGAAGAGCATAATCCTTGAAAGCGACGCGGTGGTCGAAGATATAGTCGTGGTTGAACAGTTTGAAGTAAAAATAGCAGAACATTTGTTGAAGCTGCTTTTAGATTTTATGTGTTTACTGAAAACAAATTGTATGACCATTGCTTCATTTAAGAAATTGAGTGCGTGGAACTCTATCACTGTGATGACAAAATAGCATTTAATTCCAAATCGTCTCAGTTTCAGTTCTTAAACTCGTGCTCAGCTCTTTCCACCATTTCCTTCGCAACGTTCAAAACTATGAACTCCTTCAATGAGACTCAATTATTCGAGTCAATTATCATATTGAAATGGGCCCAGCCAACTAACCTTCTTGTACTTAGCGACAAGCTTCTTCTGTTTCTTCTCTATATTTTTCCAAGGTTCTTCGCCATCCCACGTTTTAAGATATTTTTCATACAGCTCTGGCAGTCTTGCCAATAGTTCTTTGGTCTTGCTAACCATTCT